TAGACATAGTAATTCTATATTCCATAGTTATTCCTCCACCCTAATTAAAATACATCACATAACAAAAAAAAACAGTAAACAGGATGGCTCAAGGTTGTATTTGAACGGTATTTGTAACATTCAAGTGTAATGTGCAATCTTGACAATACATTTGTTTAACATTGATATGGACATTGTAAAAATAATAACCCATCTACAACTTTTCAACTTTCTTCAGGAAAGAGATAGGAATTATACTAATTTACTGACATGTATAAATGCAAGATAAAACAGTGACTTAAAACACTACATGCTGCTTCACATACAGTTTTGATGTACAAGAGATCATGAAGGCAGATTCAACTTCAGTTTTCCACAAGTTAGATCTCCTAAAAGCAATGTTTTTGTGTTAATGGAAGAAATATTGACCAGACTTTGGAATTAATACTTTGGGGTCTTCAACGTAATTCTGAATGTAGGCTGTCCATTGTGTAATGCTTTTTACAAAGTTCAGCAGTTTCACTGATCCAGCACCTTAATGGTGCATTGGAATACTATCCTAGATACATGCTCAAACTGGAGTGCAACTTGAACCCCTTAATTTTTGACTTAAGAGGTGGGATTGTTACCTACTGAGCCAAACTGAGAATCGAAGAACAAAAAAAGTATCAATATTGATTTTTAATAACATTAAATTGCAATCAAATTTGTAAAACGTTCTTTAAAAAAAGCAACAAACATCATTGCTGGAAAAGAAAACTTAGACATCAGTTCTCGTACTTGTAAATTTTGATTTGACCTTATTCACTTACACTTCTGATATTACCACAATTTACAATGTAAAGCATTCTTTCCACATTACACTGGAATGTATATCAGTTAAGCAACCTGAGTCCTTTGTTCTCAAAATTGGCTATTGCAGCGATTCTCAAAATGTAGTTTGTGGACCCCTTGTGTTCTGCATAGCTTTTTAGAGGACCTGCAAAATAATGTGAATACTGATGGCTGTGACGACACAGGTCAGGCACATATCAAGCAGCATGCCAGCAATATTTTAGTGCAGGTAGGTGGAAGAAAAGAAAATCCCAAGATATTCACCAGCTGCATCCTGAGTGAGTATTGCAGATGATGGAAGGTTACACCTGAAACAGTGACCTTTCCTCAAAACAGTTCTGAGGAAGGGTCACCAGACCCAAAACGTTAACGCTGATTTTTTCTTCACAGATGCTGCCAGACCTGCTGAGCTTTTCCAGCAACTTCTGTTTTTGTGTGTGCATTTGAAAAGGGGCCTTTTCAGTGAAAAGAATTGAAAAGGACCATGGCAGGAAATAAGCTCATTGGTTTGGAATTGGAGTCTTTTTCATCTTAATGCATTCCTCTGATTTGGAATTTGAAGAGGAAACAAAGCATGTCCAGCTGGGAAGGTTTTAAAAAAGCTGAATTGCAGAACTTGCAGGAGCATGAAACAAAATGTTTGGTGCATTGAGTTACACTGAATAAGCCTTTCTTAATAGCCTGATGTCCACTGATCCACCTGTATTGGATAGCATGTTGGGCAACACTCCAAGATGGCGGCAGAGTAGGACGTTCCAGTCGGAGCTCCTGTGCTTGCCAGTCCCTTTCCCTTTTTATCACCTCCTCAAAGCTTTTCTCATCATCCCCCCTGCCCTACCTGGACAGTGGAGTCAAGGAGCAGAGGAAGCAGGCCGAGTCCCACAGCGGAACCATGGACGGGCCGAGTCCCGCAGCAAAACCGAGCACGGGCCGAGTCCCGCAGCGGAGTGGAGAGAGCACAGACCAAGTCCCGCAGCGGAGCGGAGTGAGCACAGGCCGAGTGCCGGAGCGGAGCGAGCACGGGCCGAGTCCCGCAGCGGAGCGGAGCAAGCACGGGCCGAGTCCCACAGCGGAGCTAATGGGCGATTCCCAGAGCAGCAGCGGAGCGAGTGAGGCCGGCATGGGGATGGAGTCCTGGATGGAGGCGTGGCCTCACGCTTTGGGGCCTACAGGCACGGACTGGAACTTATATCCTTATGGTCACTTATTATCATTCTGGACGTTTTCACTGTTTCATGCTAATCATTATTCTTTTTTACTCTGTTACAACACTTTTTTTTTACGCTGTAAGATTTGTACCTAGGTATTTGTACCTATGATGGTATCATTAAAGGCAGCAATTGTAAAAACTTTCCATTGTACTCCTGTACATCTGCACTGGGGTACAGGTGACAATAAAGGATATTCTATTCTATTCTATTCATATTTGTTACAGGACAAGGTTCAAAAGAAATTTTATGCCTTATTCACAATACTGGAATTGATATGCACAGAAAATCATTTATTCTCCTTTCTGAGTATATTTGGAGTTCAATTTGCAAGGACTCGTTCACCAAGACCAGAACTCAGTCACCCTTTAGCACCCAGTTACCCTTTAGCACCCAGTTGATGTTCTCTGTTGGTTGTTAAATGAGGGAATGATAAGGAATACAGTGAATTATTGAAATTCATTCAACATCACTATTGAAAATTTGCATTGAAGGAATGTTGTACATTACTAGCACAGATTACCTGAACAGAATGAGCTCTTATGGTGCTGGTTATTCTACATAATTCTAAACAAGAAAAGTTCTTTCCTCCATTGTGTTGGAATTGTGTTGATTTAAATGGTCACCTTGACTTTTCATGTTTCTTCAATGCAAACAAGCTTGTTGGTTCTATGTGTGCATGCACTGTTCTGCTTCTAACTTGGCTATTTTAACTTGCACTAAGGCTACCCAATAATTGCTCCAAGCAAAGCAATGTTGTCCTTTTTCAATTTACATTGTCTATGGTTTATATTGTTCTTTTCAGTTCTTAAAACAGAAATGGGGATTACGAAATGGTTGTCTTCTGAGAAAATATAGAAGTCATTTCCTTTCAAATATAGCCACTGCTTGCAGCAGTACTGTTTTCATTTGAACCAACTGACTTGAAAATTTTCACAGCTTATATCTGCACCAACAGTTTGGATTTTTTTTTTTAATCAGAATCTGCAATACTCTGCATAAACTAAAACAAAAACTTGGAAACAAGAATAGAGTAAGCATTAGACTTATTGCCAAACAAAAACAGAGGAAAAAAGGTCTATCAGTCCACATCTGCTCAACCATTCCCCAATTTCCTCCAACATTTTTACCTCCAATTCCCTGTCAACAAAATTGACAAATTACTCTGAACATTTTGCAGTGCTGTTATGCAGGTTTCAAAGTGTGTCTCTCTTCCATCATATCTATTAAGATGACATTTTAACATTATGAGATTACATAAAATTTGTTAAAATACCTAAATTATTAATGTTTTTATATGACAGTTATCACCTTATTCATGTTTATTAAGTAGTGTTGAAAATTATTCATACCTTACAATTACTGACAGCAAGAAACCACCATCTTTCCCTAGCTGAATGAACATTGAGTCTTCTTTGACAGTCTGTGTAATTTATTCCATTTGTTTCAACCACCTGTACAAGTGGAAAAATATAGCAAGCTGTAAATTCTGCATTTAAACTGTTGGCTGAATATATCAAGATATCCTGGGAGGGGCAGTAAATGAGTTTGACTGTCCATTTAATGCTAAACCACAAATTACAATTTGTGATGTTGCATGAGCACATGGTGCTCTGTGCACCAAGTGTGATGGTGTGTAACTTCAGGGGCAATTAACTCTTCTCCATCACTAGCAAGAACATTCATTGGATCAAACACTGATGAGTACTTAAATGGAACTCAGTGCATCAACCCACTCACTTATTTGGCCTTCCTGCTACCTTCCGCATCACCTGCAGGGAGGAGAAAATTCTGCCCATAGTTCCAAATGTGCATGGTGAAAGGTGTCTATATCATTTTCAGGCTTTTTATTTCAAAATAATAACATATGGGTGTTGGTTGCATTTGCAAATGGCTATCCAAGAAAAGTTTCACAGTCATTCATAAACAATGACCTAATGCAGTATGCATCAGAAAACGGGTGACTGCAAACCCACTGAGGGCTAATGGAACATTATTTATATTGTAGTGGTTTACCACAGGTAGAGTAAACAACTGAAAGCCATTTAGCTTGATCTTGGGTCAGAATAATGAAGGATTGATTTGAGTTTAGGGCCCTAAGTGATTGAAAGATTTTACAGCAGTTCAGAGAGGAACCAGTAGGTCAGAAGCAAGTATAGCTTTTCACTTAGAAAGGACTTTATTTTAAGAAAACTCAGTAAGTCAGGGAAAACAGAGTTACTCCAGTAGAAAATGAGATAACACAGTGTGGAACTGGAGGAGCACAGCAGGCCAGGCAGCATCAGAGGAGCAGGAAAGTTGACGTTTCGAGTCGGGACCCTTCTTCAGAAATGGGGGAGGGGGAAAGGAGCTCTGAAGTAAATAGAGAGAGGAGTGGGGCTGGGGAAGGTAGGCAGGATGGTGATAGGTGAGTGCAGGTAGGGAGTGGTGGGGATTGGTCAGTGAGGTGGGAGGAGCAAATAGGTGGGGGAGAAGATGGACAGGTTATGTCAGGTCAAGGAGGTGGGGATGAGGGAGACGGTTGGTCATGGGATGAGGCCGGGGTGGGGAGGTTTTGAAACTGGTGACCGTCGCGTTGCCTTAAAAAATGTCTATCAAGCCAGATTTCGTTCTGAAGTCTGACTTGTCCAGCACTACCAACAGCTGGGATCATAGCAAATGCTAACTGAAAATGACAAAGTATGCAAATTTAATTTCATATATCAAAGATTCCTAAATTTTACTTATTGCATATCCCTTTCCAGAGCTACCTGGTGACAAGGTACACCTATCAGCAGGATCAATAGCTTAACTTTTAAATGTCCCCACATACAAATTATACTGCATATGTGCAACTTAAATATTGCTTGAATAGAATTAGTTACATTTCATGTGACAGATGAAGTACTTTGTTTAAGCAAATGCACGCAAAATATTAGCTGTAAATTCTATATTTAAACTGTTAGCTGAGTATATCAAGATATTTTGGGGGGGCAGTAAATGTATGAGTCATAAATTATTTTCCACACAAAGATGATGATAATACTGATTTAATTCCAATAAGTAATCAAAATCCAGTCACACAGTAAAGTTATAGCAAACAGCAGCAACATCTTGACAGCCTTCTACGACAACTGGGAACTCAAGTCACAGTTGGATCCAAGACTCAGCCAACTTCTTATTCTTCCATGATGCAGGGAAACTGGACATTGACAATTCCCAACATGCAAAGTGAATCCTGGTGGCTTCAAGTCGTCCTTTGTTCCTCTGCACCTCCATCTTGGCTTGCAGTTCCTAACATGTCAACGCATAGTCTAAGGGCAGTGAAAACCTATAACAACCCCTTCTCCCAAGAGGTTGGCATCAGCCTCACTACGTCATCATAGCATATCTCCAACTCACTCAGAATACAGTTCGCCACTTCAGTGCTGCATTTGGAATGCACTGACACCTTGGATTGCAATGTTGCTGCTCGACCACTTTGTGTTGAGGGTCAGATATCTCAGTGCTCTTAGTTTGTTCTCTCAGCGCTGACTCACTTGAGCCTATTTGGATGCTCACAGCATCCCTGCCATGCATTATCTTGCCTTGTCTCTTTTATGCTTTGTTGCCTCATTTACGGTTATCATACATCTTTCTTGCTTTGCCTTGTAGCGCAGACAATTATTCAGGCAGCTTGACATGGTCGTCAGGAGTGATCAGTCAAGGGGTTGGAAATAGTTCTGATTGGCACCATGCTACGTCAATGTCACACCTACAGTCTGTGCCAGCAGCTTACACTGCAAACACACTTCATGTGCATCAATCAAATGGCCATGTCTCAAATTCTAAGGGGACTAAGTCTATGGGCTTGTCTACAATTGAAGATATGGGCAAGGACATTATCTAATCTCATTTCTCATTTCTAGTACACTAAGCAGGAGGGTGCAGGAGACGGCCTTGCTTGTGCTTCTTTGACCGGAGCTGCAGCTTCTTCCTCAGAGGTGGAGGAGGAGATGATACGCTGAGAGGCTGGTCTCTTCAGGGTGCCATTGGTGCTTGCAGTAGACAAGAGAGAGAATGAATTGTGAAATAGGAGCAAATATTTGAACATATTGAGAATATATTTACAGAAGGTGACCAGCACAGCACTTGACAATGAACCTTACTCAGTTGCCAGAACGTGGATATTTCAGCATCAGTACTGGCTGTTCATGGTCCTATCCCACTAAGGCAAGGATTCTCTCCGCATAGGGTCAGTAAGCAGTTTGATTCAGGCACTCCACTACCCACCAAGGCTCTCTCTCTCCTGGAAAAGACAAACGGAATCATTAAGAGCAAGATGAAAGTGGCTGACAGCTGTTAGTGTTGGTACAGGTGGGGGAAAAGTAGTTAGGTATCCCAAGTGAGTGAGTAGGCAGCACAGAGGGCATGCAGGGTGAGCAGTCTGGAGGATGTTGGGGTGAGTGAAAGAGAGTGGAGGGAAGATAATGCAGTGTAAAGACTGTATCTTTCTACATTATTTTTGATGATGGACTGAATTGGGAAAGAACTGTTTTATAACAAAAGGACTAAGGAAGGAACTGCTGTATATTTAAAAAGCAAGTTACAGAAAATCATCGTCACTTGTATTGACACTGGTGTTTTGCAAGAAGTGGGGAAAGGTGTAAATAGACGACACGGCATACGGGAGGTGTACAAAGTGAGATTTAGCCATCCACAGGTTGCTGATTGGTTTGTGTAATTTTGACCACTTGTGGGTGCCAAAGATCATCAGCCTGATGGCAACTCACTGTTTGAGTAGCTAGATAGAACAAAGAAGAGTACAGCACAGGAACAGACCCTTCAGCCCACCAAGATTGTGCCAACACTTGATGTCTTGCTAAACTAAAAACCTTTTGCCTCTATGCAGTGATCATCCCTCTATTCCCTACTGATTCACGTATCTGTCAAGATGCTTCTTAAACAATAGATTGTGGATGTGAACAGTACAGTAAGAAGCCCTCAGATTTTTGGTGGTGAGTCTGTCTCTCTCTCTTGGTGGTAAAATACGTGGAGCGAACAAAACTAGTTGTTTTTTCCTGCAAGTAGCTGTAGGCTGTTGTTTTTAACCAGTAAATTTGGATGCTTTACAACCTATGAACCTGTCACTCGTTGGTTCCTGTGAAGAAGTGAAAGAACCCAAAAAGAAAGATCAGAGAACTGAACAAGTTGGGAACCAAATGGAGCATCCCACTGATTCTTAAGGACTGCTACCATTGAACTATTTCCTCAGCACTCTCTTTTTCCCCTCCATCCATAACACCAATGTATTTTTGGTGTTTTATATATATATATTTTTTTTAGAAGGGGTTAGAATTTTAACTCATATCAACATATAACAACAGTTTGTAGTTTTTCAACTGTGTTTAAAATCTATCTATATGTAAGAAAATTCAGATCTGAAATTGTAGTAATTGTTATGTACAGAAACCTGGTCAGTGTTTTCTGTTAACCTGTGTCTATCAGACAGGTAAACTGGAGACTTTGTGTACTTTGAACAAATGTTTCAATTTTGCAGTGACTCTGGGAGTAGCAGGCCTTGAATTCCAGTATGCTAAGCCAATGAGGCATACACATGCAACAGTGAGAGTGGTTGACCATAAGATTTGGTGGAAGGTGGCTGCTGTATAAGTGTTAGAGTAAGTGTGAGGTAGCAGAGGGAAGATGGGGGCACTGTTGCTTGCGGAATGCAACTTTCTTCCTGCACTGCTGGGCATTCCTCCTAACTGTGGATATTGCATTCATCCAGGTGTCAATCTCAGAGCAGGTTAGCGGGATCTGATATAGCTGTCTCCTCTGATGATTCTGGGAAAAGGGGAAAGTCCACCACCCCATCCATCAGAGCTCCAGGCCCCTATTAACAACTTGCCTTTGTCAGCCACCTTTGGGGAAATTCTTCCAATACTGCAACTGTAAAGGGAAGTTCTGGTTGGCAGCAATTGGCCTGTGCATACCTGGGTACACTTCTTCTGCATTCCCTCGACAGACAAGACCAAAGCTGTACACTATATTCCAGATGTGGTTTCACCAAAGCCCTCTGTAATTGCAACAATTCACCCCTGCTGCTGTCCTTTTATTATACAACTATGAATACCAGCAGAACATTGGCCTTCTTTACCACCTGCTGCACCTGCATGCTTACTCTCAGCAACTGGAACTGTAGCCTGTGAGAAATGTAGACAAACTCTTTCTTAATTACAACGCTCTTAGCTTGCTTCCAGTGCTTTATGAGCTATGATACAGCTTCAATTATTTTTCTCTTTTAAATTAAAGTTCAAAAACTTTACTCTCATTTCTTTTCCACTGATTGTATCCTGAAGCTCCGGTTGGAGATTAATAATAACTTCTTATTCCATGATAATTTCATTAAACCCCTTTTCTCAGGAATGCTACTTTGCACATGTTCCTCCATCAAAAGACTTCTCAGCACTTCTGAGTTTGATAGATGCTTCTCTCTCAAATTACTTTCCAGCATAGACCCAAAATGAAAAGTCAAAGTCTGGAAAGTTCTCCCCACTTACCTCTGGCTAATTCCCTTGGAACTCTGAGTAATTTCCATTCACTTGGAATTATGGGTATTATAGTTTTAAAAACTACTTGTTAACTCTAAACTCACAGACAAACCCATGTTTCACTTAGAATTCCAAAAATCCAAACTTAAAGTAAACAATATTAAGATAACATATATATAAAACTCAATTTCATTACATTATGTTCACCTGATTTTGTCTCCTTGCTTAGTACTGAAGCAAAGTAATTATTTATTATTTCTGCCACCTCATAATCACTGCCTGAGATTTTTGTTCTCCATTGATTATTCTCATCTCTACTTATTTTATATACATATGCCTCCAGAATATTTCATCAGTTTGTTCTTTTTTTCCTTATTAATTTAGTTGCATTGTTCTGCTATTCCTTCCTAATTTTTTTATTCTCCCCAGTGTCTTCACTTTCTTCCTTTTCATGCTTTCTCCTACTTTCCACATACTTATTGTATTCCACTCCTTCACTTTTTCCCGTAAGGGTTTATTCACCAATATTTCTCATTAGTGTAGAATCTGTTCTTTTAATGGAATACTGTATATTTTTGTTTCGTTTTCAGTTGCTGTTCCACATTGTTTGCCAATATGGTTATATATTTTATTTTCACAAATTCTATTCTTAGCTCTTCTCCAATCTCATATTTGTTATATCTATGCTTTGCTCAATCATCTTAAAGTGTATTTTATGGTCACCATGTTTACCTCTCTGCTCTCATTCACTCCCCATTAATAGATAACCATAATTCTTCTGGTTTGAATAATAAGTTAGAAATGAACTGTGTAGAGCTTGTGGAAATTTTGGATTTGTTGTAATTCCTCATCATTTCTTTTTACTCATTACAATCTTACTGGCAATATATTCCTTCACCTCCCTTTCACTAACAGGCAGACCCTTTATCTTGATCCATTGGATTCTATTTGTTGTTTTTTTCTACGGCTATCTAACTACAGTGTGCCTTTGCCTGCTGCCTAACTTTCTAGATACAGTATGTCTTTTGAGCCCAAGGAGAACAAAATACAAAAATGTTGCTTTTTTCCCCTCAGGGTATCACTGTCACTTTAGTCAGTGCAAGTGCACAGATACAAATACCATACATACCTGGCAGCCAGATAACAGAAAAGTTTGAGTGAGGTTCAACAGTTGATTATTTCCATTGGCAGCCACTGCTTCTTTACTCCAGCAGTCCTGAATAAACACTTTCCAGAATTAATTGTACATTATCAGAGGTTTTTTTTTCTGGGTATGAATTCAGAGCCAAATACAAATTACCAACAGTGACCCTGTAAATCTAACAGTGCTATTCCAGTTGTCTGGTTAAGTGTGGTATCTTATAGGTAAACTGAGCCATAGGGATAGGGAAATTCCTGGATCAATTTCTGGAATATGGTGAGTTGGCTGCTTTAATTGGAGCCGCATTGCAGATATTAGAGTTGGCCTCAGCTTTTGTTCATTTTACTAAAATATTAGTTCCTGAGCTATGGAGGGGAAATATCAGTTCATGATCCTTCTCCAATTATTTCTACATTGTCAAGGTTAATTGCGTTCCGCACAAAATTGTTTTGGTTCAGACTTGAACAGGAACCACGTGAGTGGGTAATGGAGGCTCATCTATTGCTTATCATAGGCAAATATGCCAGCAAAGTATCAAACAATGGTACTGTCCAGGAGAAAGTTCCACAGGCATGACAAACAATATGTGAAGTTGCACCACTGATATTCTGCAATCAGCTAGTAACATAAGCCTTGATGGGAATACCTATAGCAAGACTAAACTATTTCAGCAAAAAGAAATTTCAACAAGGTAGAATCCCTACAGTGTGGAAACAGGCCCTTTGGCCCAACAAGTCCACACTGACCCTCAGAGCATCCCACCCAGACCCATCCCTGAACACCATGGGCAATTTAGCATGGCCAATCCACCTAGCCTGCACATCTTTGGACTGTGGGAGGAAACCAGAGCACCCAAAGGAAACCCACGCAGGCACAGGGAGAACGTGCAAACTCCACACAGACAGTCACCCAAGGGTGGAATCGAACCTGGGTCCCTGGCACTGTGAGGCAGCAGTGCTAACCACTGAGCCACCGCGCCACCCCTACATGTGTACATGTATGATACAAACATTAGATTGCAGGACAATGGTGTCTAACGCAGTAGGCATGAGGGTTAGTTGCATTTTTGATTAGGAATTAAAATGTAAATAATAATTCCAGCCACATAGTCATAACACTCATTCACAGAACATGTGTATGTGTACTTAATGTTTTTGGCATGTGGTAAAATGCTGGTAAATGTTTGTGGCCACAACGGCTAGCTTAAATGGCTGTAGTAATGGTTTCTGCATTTGGTTCCTGCTAAAATGGTATGCAATACCGATGAATATAGTGGACTCCATGGCATTGGAAACACCAGAAATTATGATTAGAAAGCTGAACGGTCTTTGTGGTCATATTCATTAAATTAGAATGGTCAGGGAGGGCAGTATCCCTCACTAGCAGTTCCAACAAGGCAGATGAGGCAAACTGTATCCAATGAACTGCAGAGAAGATCTAACATGCATTGTGACTTAGTTGTGAGGTGTTCTCAAATGAAAATTGTTCATTTGACTGAACTATTAGTTCCTGAAACACTCCATATTATTAGCTATTTCATGTATTTGTACAATTATTTATATAGTACTTATTTAGCCAAGTTGACAGACCTACCTTTGAGCTGTTCTTATACACAGAGGGCCATTGGGTCATCTCGTCATAATAAAACAGCAAATTCACAATATGTTTTGCCTAGCAGGGGTATACAAAAGCATTCAAATGTATAATATTATGAAAATATTTAAAGTTACTATTTTCAGGATACTCCATAGTTAAACCAAATATCTTAAGGGTATAAGGTGGTGCATACATGTGCAGCACAATTATGTAATATCTAATAATGATATCAAAGTGATTACCAAAAATATAAATCATTCTTGGCTTCTTTCATGCACCTCCTTGCAGTGTAAACTGAGCAGTGTTGGTGAACTTTGGAATCAGGAGGTCAATTACAGTTCTACCATTCTGAATCACACTTTCAAAAGAGGACTTTTAGATATTGTTGCAAACCCAAATCAGATAAACATCTCAATTCTCTCTATATTACAGTTAATGGTTCTTAGTGTTTTCTGCATGTCCTTAAATTCTATTCAGTGACATTCTTTCCATTCTAAAATGAGAACAGTAAGTGCTGGAAAGACTCAGCAGATCTGGCAATCTTCATGAAGAGGGAAAGAGTTAACACTTCTAGTCTGTGATCTTCCATTATCCTTGAATTCTAAACATTCTGTCACAGACAAACTGGAAAGTGGGATGAATTTAATTATGATTGCTTTTCCACTCTCAAATATGACACAGTAAGGCATTGGCTGATGAACTCCTTTCCTTTTTTACTCCTAGCCCTTACTGAAGTAGGCTGAAGGGAGTTTCCCAAACCCTGGTTTTTGGATCCTAACCTTTGAAATAAACCCACAAAAAAATGCTTTAAGGTGAAGCTGAAGTTTATGAAAACAATCAAGACATGGGGGAGTTAGTAGGAACTGCAGATGCTGGAGAATCTGAGATAACAAGGTGTAGAGCTGGATGAACACAGCAGGCCAAGCAGCATCAGAGGAGCAGGAGGGCTGACGTTTCGGGCCTAGACTCTTCTTCAGAAATTTCCTGCTCCTCTAATGCTGCTTGGCCTGCTGTGTTCATCCGGCTCTACACCTTGTTATCCAAGACATGGGGGAATTGCTTTGTCACTTCAGCCACACTCACATACACACAACAGGGACTAGTGGTATTATCCCTGGACTCTGAGACCCAGGTAATGTTCTGGTGGCCCAAGCTCAAATCCCACCACAGCAGATGTTGGAATATGGAATTCAATAAAAATCTGGATTGATGATTATGAATCCATTGCCGGTTGTCAGGGGAAAAACCCATCTAGTTCACTAATGTCCTTTAGGGAAGGAGCCTGCAATCCTTACCTGATCTGGCCTTCATGGGATTCCAGACCAACAGCAATGTGGTTGACTCTTAACCTCCCTCTGGGAAATTAGGGATGGGCAATAAATGCTGGCCTAGTCAGAGATTCCCCCAACCAGTGAATGAATTTTAAAAATCTCAACAAATTAAGGAAAGCAGGAGAAGAGAAGAAATACATTGTAAATGACAAATTCTGGTAAATTCAGAAATATTAAAAATCAGTGCATGTGAGTTACAAATTCCCAGAGGTCAGCAGCCAATAATAGCTACCATAATTAACCAGAAACAGTATTTGTTTTCTTCTTGAAGGCAAAGTGTAGATCTCTTTCCATCCAGCAACTTGAATACGGAGATGGATGGACTGAGGTAGGCTACCATCTCAGCCTAGAGTCTTGCTCTCCCTCTGGAAGTCAAAAGTAACTAACTTAGATTGTATATTTAAACAATTCAACAAGCTCTGACTTCAGTCAGTAACAAAGGCAGGCATTTCAGACGATAATTGCCCATCTTGGGGCAACCAATCAAAAGGTCATTAAATTAATGGCACAGCTTTACTTCAAAGAGCTTCTGTTGCAAGATTATGAGGCAATTGTAAAAGCAATAGCCCCATTTTAATATAATGAATTTTGTTGTTTTCCTTCATCCAGAATGGAGTGCAGGATGAGGGTTTGTCTCCAAGCTCTAGTTGGAATGTACATACAATTTGGGTGGGGTTTGGTGGGTAAGGCGGGCGGTGTCAGAAGTTTCTGCATATATGACCCTGTAATCACTCTGAGCCATTTTGAGTCCAACAAGCTTGTTCATACTTTGTAAATAAACAAAAAGAGTCAAATATTTTACACAGAGGGTGGTTGGATCGTGGAATGAACTTCCTGATGAAGTGGTGGATGTAGGTACAATTACAAAGTTTAAAAGACATTTGGATGGATATCTGTATAGGAAAGGTTTGGTGGGATATGGGCCAGGAGGGACTAGCTTAGTTTGGGATCATGTTCGGCATCCTGGTTGGATGGAAGCGTCTGTTTCCATGCTTATGACTCTACGACTTTATGAAAATATTGAAGAGAATGCAGTTTTCTTTGGGATTCTTCATTCCTTCTGTCTGTGCCACTACACACCAGTTTGATGTCAGCCTTCCACTTGAATCTATATACTACTGCAAGGAAATATTTTGAGAGTCTCGATTGCCTTTTTGACCTATGTTTCCCATCTTATTTGGTATATTCATTCTCAAAATAATTGTTCTCTAAAGCAGAAAATTGATCAGGATTGAAGAGAAAAATAAAAGGACCAAACAAACTAGCAGTTAGAGGGCAAATTTAACCTGAACCTTGGGTATCAGACAGGATTGGATGCAGTGCAATGCCTGTTTTATAACTTGTTCAATTTTATGCTCTATTCAAATCAAGTGACACTAACATTGGCGGGCATGTTCTACTTGATGTCTTGGATTTGTTCCATGTGGTGTGTCAAACCGACCACAAGTTATAATGACTAGAGTCTGTAGGCTGTGACAATGCAGATAGCTCCTGGACTACATTGATATGCTTACGAGCCATGGTTGAAACTTTTGAAATGCCCATGATATTGCTCTTTGGTTGACTATTCAAATGCTGCTGTGGAGCATTGTTTTATACTTTGGGCTTCTGTGGGCAATTACTTTTCCTGCACATTTTAGCCTTATAGAGCAGAACTTACTTTTCACAAAGTGATGGACACTATCTTGGCTGATCAGACAAATCACATTTGTAGATGTTGCTGACAGGCTTGAATTTATGTCCTTCTTTTAGCAGCGTGTCAATGACATATTAGTTGGAAGCTCTTTTTGGAAGGATTTACTGGTGTAGAGCCAGTAACCAGTTCCAAAAGCATTTCTGCTAGGTTAGCTTTGGTGAGTCATATTCTGTACCTTTGCATCAAAATCTGATGCGAGTTTGTTGATTGTTTCACCTGGCTGCTGTTGCTATAACATGAACTAAAGCCTATACAATCTGAAGTTGACTCAAACATTTAGTTGATCTTCTAAACTCTCAAATTTGCCAGATCTTTGCTGTCATTATCAGGAATACCAGAGGATTTTACTGTTCCTAACAAAAAGAAGTTTGACTGGCTCTTTCTCATTGTCAGTTTTCTTTGATGCAGAATGTAAAGATTGATTCTTTCTTTAAATAACTACAATTCTGACAGAACGTTCAAGGAGTACTAATCCATGCTCAGATGCTTGCTTTCCAGCTTTATTATGCTCTCTAAAAAAAGGTAAAATAAAAAATACATGTTGTACTATACTGTTTTTCTTGTTTTAAGATATTATTGAAAACTTCTCTTTATTTCTTGTTTGTTGCTTTTCAGGTTGCGCTCATGGTGGCAATTATGCCAAAAAATTGTGACATCATGTTTTTTTGAATTTTTGCTCCATTGCCAAGAAGCAAGAAGGCATAATCAACCAATGTCTGGACATAGGTAAGGCCTTTATAATGATTTTTTTTAAAAAATGCATTTTCTTCAATATTTCACACCAGGGGCACTTTAATAGCTTGGAGCTGTGCTTCAGCATCTTTGAAACCATTTTTTAAAATCCAATTAGCTATGTTGCTGAATTTTCTTTAAATTAAGATCGGAAATAAATGTCAGATTAAGTAAATAAGTAATTCTTCTCCAGATTGTGGCACTTTAGACTTATTTGTAAACTTCAGCTTTGAACTCAGGTAGATGAGATCACTGCTGCCGTTTACCTTTTAAGCCTTTAGCATGAACTATCTGCCACTAACTAGCTGTCACCTTTAGCTTCTAGTACTCTCCTGTTGCCACCATGATGTACAAACTTCAGAAGGCTTCTTGGGTCAAATATCACTTGCAATATATCATGGTCTAAATGTTTCCCGATATGTTTACCTTACATAGCATAGATCACGAAGATTGGGTTCTGCAATATCTCCATGTTAAAAGTTCTTATTCTGGTTTTCAACTCTGTCCATGGCCTCAGAGTTCCCTATCTCTATTATCTCCTGCAGTCTCACAGCCCTCATATGTCTGCATTTTTATAATTCTGACCTCATAAGCATTCTTAATTTTAAATTGTTACACAATTGATGCTGTGCCTTCAGATACCCAAATCCTAAACTTTGCATCTTTTCCTCCCAAACCTTTCCACCTAACTCTGTTACTTCCTTTAACACGTTCCTTAAAACTAATCCTTCATTGAACTTTTGGCCAAATGCTCTAGTATCTCCTTTTGTGGTTTGCTGTTTAATTTTGTTTTATAACGATTCTGTGAAGTACAGGAAGAATATTTTATGTTAAAAGTGCTTTATAAATAATAATAGTTGATATTGTTTCTTCCTTTATCAGAGTCTGTTTAATTAGCACCATTCTTTTACCAACTGGATCCAGATTTCAGGATTTAGAGCATAACTATGTACTGATAAATTTCCAGTTAAAGGACAAAAGGGTGGTACCAGGCTATAACCTAGCGATTCTTCACAAATACGGGAGAGGCGCAAATAAGAGAGAAATTCACTGAAGCATTCCAACAACTTCCAACATTCAGCGACACAATTCTGTTCATCACATCACTTACTAAACGTGGAATTAAATTCAAAATTTATATAGAAGGTAAATTTAAAAGATTGAATTAATTTCTAACAATTAAATTATTTAATGCAAGATATCCTCAACAAATGTTAGTAGTGTCCAGACAACACACGACACTGTCCATGAACAGGGCTATTAATTTTTCAATCTTTTTTATCAGGACACCTGAACACATTCCATCTTTTTCTTCAATTATCTGAAATTCTGCGGCTTTTCTATATTTAATTCTTACCTTGGGATACCAGATATGGTAGTTGATCTGTCCTTTCTCAGACAGAAAACAAAATTTGGTCAAAAATACCCATTTCTGAAACAAAAATAAAGTAGTTGCAGTAAAACAGGTAATTGTTTAAAGAGAAGCCTAAAGTAAACTCAAATAAATATAGTTGCAAGTTAATGAATGAATGGTGCTTATATTTACAATGTTGTGTGAGCAAGGGTCCACATTATTAAAGAGCCCAGGACACAAATGAGCTGAAGCTGTTCAACTACAGTGTATCTATGCTGTAACCTTTCTTTGATTATGCCTATCAGCAAAGGTATATTACTTGTCTCCAAGACGGCAGTGGAGTGGGTCTCCTGAGCTGGAGCTTGTCCACTCCGTCCGTTTCTTTTATTTAAATCTCCCATATTGCACTTTTATTTTCTTTTTACCTCCCATTCTGAGGCAGCATCGGCAATGTCCAGGGGGAAAGCCAATGCAGTATCATAGCCTCAGCATGGACTTGGACTCCTGGCCTCGAGGTGAGGCCCAGTGCAGTCTGGGTTGAAAGGACTGTTATTCTGTGTGGACAATCGTACTCATTAGCGAATGATTAATGATGACCTCGCATCAAGATCTGGAAACAGGGTCAAAAGTTCAATCCACTGATAGACACAGAAATTATCTTTTTGGTTTAAAAGCACAACCCTTCTCCCAAGTAGCAATATAAATGCTGTTCAGCAAAGTTCAACCAGCACAGTAACTCAAAACGTAAAACAAAATAAAACAAAGAATTGTGGATGCTAGAAGTCTGGAAGAAAACCAGAAATTTCTGGAAAACCCCAGTAGGGTTGGCATAAGACAGAATTAACGTCATGTACAGTAACCCTTCTGCAGATGTGAAGAAGGGCACTGGACTCAAAATGCTAACTCTGTTTTCTCTCCACGGATGCTGCCAGACTTACTGTGTTTCTCCAGCAATTTCAGTAACTCAAAAGCCCAGTTATGGACAAGATCAATACTCTCATCACCAGTGGGCAATTCCTAACTCTATATGCCGGATCACCAAGTTCGAAGATGGCAAGTGAGCCCGTTCAGATCATTGTCCCTTCTCAAATTCAGTCCTAGTGCATATGCTTCTTCCAGGGAAGCACACATTGCCCAAATGTTTTCAATATCTTGATTAGCTTGGGAATACTGAGGGTATCAAACCTGAGCCAAGATGGAACAGTTTTTAAATTCAGCAGCAACCAAGTGCAAATCAAAAGGGTATCAGAGCTCAATCATTAGTGGTCACGTAATTACTTTAGACCAAAGAGCTTGCCTACTTTAGTCAACAAATGAGGAGCTATTATGCTCTTTTGCACTGTGGTAGTGCCCTTAGCACTTGGGCAGAAAGTCCAGGCTCAGGTCCCACCTGCCTTGAAGACATGCCTGAGCAAGGTGATTTATAAAAACAATAAGGAGATAGTGAAATGTCAGCCCATTCACCCAAAGGAAAAATCTAGCAATGTGGCCCATTTGTAAATGAATACAACTGGTGGCAAAACCGAAACTGGTCTACTTGATTTAAAGATGTGTTTGAAATCTTTACTTTTTTTAACTTCTTCAAGACTTGTACCACCAAGGCGTTGATATGTAACTTCATAGATATTCACCAGTGCTAATTTATGAACAACAAAAATCCCCAACACTATGTGATTCTTCTTGCTTGTGATCAGATACAGAACTATAGTTTTATTTGCCTAAATGCAAAAACAAAGTGAAGCAGTGCAAAAAGTGTTCAGTCAGCTGAGCTTTTGCAGATAGTGGAGAAACAGAACTCTGTAATCTAACTGATAATAGTCAAGTGATATATTTCAGAGCACTGGAGCCTGCATATGTAACTTCCATTTCTCTATGATCACAGTTGCGTGTTACATGAAGAAAGTATTTTCTAAATAATACTGACCATCTTTCAAAATGTCCAAGGAATAAACACAAAAGCTACTACGTCACGTATAAGCTGGCTCAGCTGTTCTCTCAGACTGCTTTTGTGTCTGATGACAGGGCTACTCAGAGGAACAGTTCCAGTAACAGTTCATAGGAAAGAAGACACGATGGGTCTAATGGCCTACTTCTGCACCGAAACAATTCTTTGATCCTGTTTAAGGCCTGCCTCCACTCAGTTGATAAAGAAGCCATCAGTCCAGTTGCAGAATTGAAGTAGTGTCTTTCCACATTGATCCTCTCTTTTCATAAATCTTTTCAACTCTGCTTACTAGTTGTTTTTCTAAAGCTGTACCAACGATTAATTTAATGAATCTTTACAGGATTCTTAAGGAGCCTGACAGGGTATAAATGCCGAGAGGATGTTTTGCATCATGGGAGGATCTAGGACCTGAGAGCGTAGTCTCAGAATTAAGGGACACCCCCAATTTAAGACTGAGATGAGGAGGAATTTCTTCTGCAGGTTGAAAATCTTTAGAACTCCTTGCCACAGAGAGCTGTGAGGACAGAGTCCGTGTGTACATTTAAGGCTGAGATAGATGGACTTTGATCAGCAAAGGAAGAGGATTATGGGAAAAGGGCTGGAAAGTGGATAGGAGGAGTTGGATCAGCCATGATCCTATTGAATGGTGGAGCAGGCTCGATGGGCCAAACAGCAGACTCCTGCTCCAATTCAAATGGTATTATACTAACCAATTCTTTCAATCACATGCAACTGAAACACAAATTCAAAGAATTAGCCATTTGATTAAGACATCATCAAATGTCTCAAGAAAGAGTAGATAAAAAAACATCCACCCATACCCACAGCAAGATAATGAACATAATACATACTTCCTTAGATTAGCTGGTTGATTTAGAGATTGATAAAACCACTCCTCTCAACATCCCATTCAAAACAATTAAGGAAACAAAAACGAGCGGAATGCTATGATCATCTGACAGAATCTCCCAGAATTACTGTACATTTGAAAATATGTGCAAGAGAAAAGTGAGGTCAAGTAGATTATTTGATTTGATTTTCCAAAGCACATAAAAATAGGTCAGTTGTAGACCGTGAATATTTTTGTCCAGCTAAAAAAAAAATGATGGCTTTATCACTAAGACAATTAATCCAGAGTTCCAGGTAATGTTGCGGGGCCCAGTTTCAAATCCTACTCATAGGAGACTGCAGAATCTGAATTAATTAATAATCTGCAAATAAATTGAATGATGACCATGAAATCATTGTTTGATTGTCAGGAAACCCCACCAGGTTCACTAATATCCTTTAGGGAAGTAAATCTGTAATCCGTACGTGTGACTCCAGACCCACAACAACGTGGTTGACTTTTAACTGTCCTCTGGGCATTTTTAAAAAATTTATTGCAAAAATATACTTTATTCATAGAAGGAAATCTTTATGTACATACACAGTAAATGAAGCCATTCTGATCTATACTGTCTTTACTTACAGAGAATAAAATAAACATTGGCCTTCGCTTTTCTATACATTTGTAATTAACCCTTTGGCATTCAGCTGAGGCATCAGCAGGGTCCCGTTACTGAATGGGCTCCCTGTTTTGCTTTGGTAGAAGGACCTTACACAGTAGCCCTTCCCCACTGCACCTTGGTTGCAGCTGCCCCAAGCTTTATTGCATCCCTTAGCATGTAGTCCTGTACCTTGGGATGTGCCAGTCTGCAACACTCAGTCAGGGTCAGCTCTTTCAACTGGAAGACCAGCAGGTTTCAGGCAGACCAAAGAATGTCTTTCACCGTGTTAATGGTCCTCCAGGCGCAGCTGATATTTGTTTTGGGGTGCATCCCAGGGAACAGACCATAGAACACAGAGTCCTGTGTCACAGAGCTGCTTGGGACGAACCTCAACAAAACCACTACATTTTTCTCCAGACTTCCTTTGGATAGGCACATTCCATAGATACAAAAACGAAGTTGATGAAAAAGCTCAGCAGGTCTGGCAGCATCCGCGAAGGAAAAAAAAGAGTTAACGTTTCGGAAAGGGTCACTGGACCCGAAACATTAACTCTGTTTTTACCTTCACAGATGCTGCCAGACCTGCTGAGCTTTTCCAGCAACTTTGCTTTTGTTCCTGATTTACAGCATCCGCAGTTCTTTTGGTTTTTACATTCCAGAGGTAGGTGTGAGACAGTGCTGGCCCCTCTGCAGTCACTTTGAGGACAGTGTACAGTGGCGCAGAGAGTGTGGGCACGCTTGGTCTCCCAGCCAGAGCCCTTCTCACCACCAGCGAAGCAATGGCCTGGTGCTTGTTGGAAAGCCCTGTTGATGAGGCATTCTGCCAAATGACTTTAGCAGTCTGCACAGGGTACCACTCAACAAGATACACCCTTCTCTTTTTCCCGAAGGGTCTCAGGGACACTGGGCAATTAGGGATGGACAATAAATGCTCGCCTAGCCAGTGACATGCTCATCCTGTGAATAAAGAAGAAATCACAGACTCAAGCCCACAACTTGGTCAGGGGCGTCAACCTGACAATCAACAAGAGTTAACAAGGTGTAGAACTGGATGAACACAGCAGGCCAAGGAGCATCAGAGGAGCAGGAAAGCTGACGTTTTGGGTCGAGACCCTTCTTCAGAAATGGGGGAGGGGAAGGGGATTCTGAAATAAATAGGGAGAGATGGGGAGGCGGATAGAAGATGGATAAAGGAGAAGATAGGTGGAGAGGAGACAGACAGGTCAAAGAGGTGGGGATGGAGCCAGTAAAGGTGGTGAGTTAGGGAGGGGATAGGTCAGTCCAGGGAGGATGGACAGGTCAAGGAGGCGGGATGAGATTAGTGGGTAGGAGATGGGCGTGGGGCTTGAGGTGGGAGGAATCGTTAGGGAGGCAGGGACGAGCTGGACTGGTTTTGGGATGCGGTCGAGGGAGGGGAGATTTAGAAGCTTGTGAAGTCCACATTGATACCCTTGGGCTGCAGGGTTCCCAAGCGAAACAGGAGATGCTGTTCCTGCAACCTTCAGGTGGCATCGTTGTGGCAATGCAGGAGGCCCAGGATGGACATGTCATCCAAGGAGTGGGAGGGGGAGTTGAAGTGGTTCGTACTGGGAGGTGTAGTTGTTTGTTGCGAACCGAGCGTAGGTGTTCCGCAAAGCGATCCGCAAGCCTCCGCTTGGTTTCCCCGATGTAGAGGAGGCCACAACGGGAACAGCGGATACAGTATACCACAACAGCAGATGTGCAGGTGAACATCTGTTTGATGTGGAAGGTCTTCTTAGGGCCTGGGATAGGGGTCGGGGGGAGGTGTAGCACTTGCTCCAGTTGCAGGGAAAAGTGCCGGGGGTGGTCGGGCTGGAGGGGAGTGTGGAGCGGACAAGGGAGTCACGGAGAGTGTGGTCCCTCCGGAAAGCAGATAAGGGTGGGGAGGGAAAAACGGCTTTGGTAGTGGGGTCAGATTGCAGATGGCGGAAGTGTCGGAGGATGATGCGTTGGATTCGGAGGTTGGTGGGGTGGTACGCGAGGACGAGGGGGATTCTGTTTTGGTTGTTCTTGCGGGTAGGGGGTGTGAGGGATGAGTTGCGGGAAATGCAAGACACAGTCGAGGGCATTTTCAACTACTGTGGAGGGGAAGTTGCAGTCCTTGAAAAACAAGGACATCTGGGATGTCCGGGAGTGGAATGCCTTATCACAGGAGCAGAGGCGAAGGAATTGGGAATAGGGGATGGCATTTTTGCAGGAAGGTGGGGGAGAGGAGGTGTATTCTAAGTAGCTGTGGGAGTCGGTAGGCTTGAAATGGATATCAGTTTCCAGGTGGATGCCAGAGGTGGAGACAGAGGGGTCCAGGAAGGAGAGAGAGGTATCAGAGATGGTCTAGGTGAACTTAAGGTTGGGGTGGAAGGTGTTAGTGAAGTGGATGAACTGTTCGAGCTCCTCGTGGGAGCACGAGGCAGCACCGATACGGTCATCGATGTAATGGAGGAAGAGGTGGGGGATAGGGCCAGTGTAGCTTTGGAAGAGCGATTGTTCCACGTATCCTACAAAGAGGGAGGCATAGCTTGAGCCCATGCGGGTACCTATGGCCACCCCCTTTGTCTGTAGGAAGTGGGAGGAATTGAAAGAGTTGTTGAGGGTGAGGACAAGTTCGGCTAAGCGGATGAGGGGGTCAGTGGAGAGGGACTGGACATCCATGGTAAAGATGAGGTGTTGGGGACCGGGGAATTGGAAGTTCTGGAGGAGGTGGAGAGCGTGGGTGGTGTCACGGACGTAAGTAGGGAGTTCCTGGACCAAGGGGGAGAAAATGGAGTCAAGATAGGTGGAGATAAGTTTGGTGGGGCAGGAGCAGGCGGAGACAATGGGTTGACCAGGGCAGTCAGGTTTGTGGATTTTGGGAAGGAGATAGAAGTGGGCAGTGCAAGGTTGGGGAACAATGAGGTTGGAGGTTGTGGGTGGGAGGTCACCTGAGTTGATGAGGTTGTGGATGGTTTGGGAGATGATGGTTTGGTGGTCGGGGGTGGGATCATGATCTAGGGGACGGTAGGGGACGGTAGGGGACGGTAGGAGGTGGTGTCGGAGAGCTGGCGTCTGGCCTCGGCGATGTAAGGTCAGTGCGCCATATTACAACTGCGCCTCCCTTGTCCACGGGTCAGTAAGAGTCATGGGACAAGATGTCCCCAAATCACATCGACAATTAATTGTATTTTTTAAAAAATATAAAATTACCTTCCCAGTCTGTAGTTTCCCAGCTTCGTACTTCCCACTGACTAAAGACAAACAAATAGTGAGTAAGGGACCTAGTAACAGCCCCAACTGCCTACATTGACCCATGGCCGACCGTTAACTCAGGGACAAGGAGCTTCCCACCTGGGGCACCTAAGCCACGCCCCTCGCCACAGGTACACCCAGGCGCGCGCAGCCCATGTCCTGACACCGCCCATCGTCAGCATCACCGGCAGAACGCTAGTCAATTGGGTAACCTACGCTTTGATTGATAGCGTAACGGACCAGTCGGAATGAAGGGCTCCCTCCCGGCCCCGCCTTATCGCCTCCAGAAGACTGGCAGCACGAATACCCAATCAAGACAAGGTTCGCTCCGCAGCGCGCTTTCCCGTTACATCATTAGATCGTTAATCCATTGGGTCGCCGGCGAGTCATCGACAACATGGGAGACCAATCAAAATGAAGGGCTCCCACAAGGCCCCGCCCTTGCTACGTAACTACGAAGTGTGCTGTTAGTCCATTGGATAAAGGAAAGTGATTGACAGCATGATAGACCAATCTAAATGAAGACCCCCGGCCGCCGTATTACGTTGACATGAACGAGGCAACAGATATTTCAGAAACAGGACTTCCACATGCAAGCGATAAGAAGGGTCCAGACCCAAAATGTCAGCTTTCCTGCTTGGTCTGCTGTGTTCATCCAGCTCTACACCTTGTTATTTCAGTTTCACCTGCAAGATATCTTTTTCTTAAAAGAATAGACAGTTTGCAATGTTCATTTAAAAAGTTGCATTTCGTACTTCAGATTTCTAGTATCTTGTAGTCCCCTTTCTTTTTGTCCTGCGGATGATAACAATTTATCCTCCACCCGGCCCTTGCCTTTTGATTAACAGCATAATTTTCGATAAACTACTATATCCGCTTTGATAGACATGTCAATGAATCAATCACCAGCAGCTGTATGGAATTTCAACTCTTCATTGGAGTATGTCAGCAAAGTGGAGTGTAAACGCTTTCCATCATAAGACAGCATTACACGTGATTTGTGAACAACTGTCAACAGGGAAAATTGTAATGCATTTAAGTTTGTTTCTGATATTGGCTTTAATTTAATTCGACTATTAATCACAGTGTTGTTAATAGCATGAATGTTTGAACCCCTCCAAATTTGTGAAAACGAAATTTTACAACTGTCGTCAGTCTAGAATTATGGAATCAGAGATCACAAATCGAAGCTGGTCATAACAAATCTAGTAAGGATCTTAGATGAAGTCCTTCAGACAAAGACTAATTAGAATGTGGTCCATGCTACCGCAGAAGGTGGTTGCGTCAAATAACATAGGTACATTAAAGGGGAAATGAGCCAAGCAGACCAGGGAGAAATGATTAAAAGAATATACTGATGGAGATAGATGAGAAGAGCTGGGAGGAGGCTCGTTAAAAGTATAAACACTAGCAATGATCTGAATTGCCTGCTCCTGTGATGTAATAATGTAATTTCAATCTCTGCAGACAACTCGTGAGTATAGATGATTTCCTCGTGAATAGGATGGTGAGAGACGTCAAGAGGGGATAGGCTGGAAGATGGCAGATGAAATTTAAGCGAGGATTGCAAAGAGGTAGACTCATAAGCGAAATATAAAGTAAAAACTACTATTCTAAGTACATAGACAGAAACACACGAGGGTGCTAGAAAGTGAAAGATTTACAACGTAGGAGGCTATTCGGCCAGTCAAAGGCAGGCCAAAAAAAGTTACTCAGCCTCAACTCCTTTCAATTCCTGTTCCTATCGCCTGCAGGTTATATAACCTCAAGTAGTACCAAATTGATGAAGGTTTCTGCAGCTACAGTGTACATTCAAGGTTCTGATAGACTTTTATGTACAAGACAGTCAAGGGATATGAGGTGTGGGACGGGAGGGTATGTTAGGTAGGGGAAACATGGAATTCAGACCACAATCAAATCAGGCATTTTCTTATTGAATGGTAGGCTGGGTTGGAGGAGACAAATTGTCTGAAATACTGTAATTTCTCAGGATCTTACTTTACTCGCCGTAGCAGACAGAAAGCGAAACAAAAGCAAATAGCTAGAGAATCTCGAGTCCGGTGTCCCATCTTCATTGATAGCTAAATGGGTCAAATGACTGTCACCATTCCAGTTCTCACCGAAGGCCAGCGATTTAACTCATTTTTTTAAAAAAACCCTCTATCCACAGACACGTTTTGGCAGCCTTTCCTGCTCCATTGCAGTTTTCACTTTCAGGGAGGCTTTTGCTGTGTGTTGACATTGATTGATTGACGCCCAGCGTCTCATTCCCATTGGCCAGCCGCCTTGCGAGGATGGCGGGGCCATCCCAGCTGACGTTTCCCATTGGCCGAGCACCTTTTGATTGACGGCGGGGTCATTTGGGCCGGCGTTTCCCATTGGCCGAGGCAACATAGAAGCTGACAATGTTACAATGGTTGCGGAAGCAGTGTGGGACTTTCCAATAGTCGAAAGGGATCTCGTGTTCACAGGAGAAGCCAGAGAGCTCTGCGCCGACGAGGAGCAAAAATGCAACGATGGGATCCTGGAGGAAAGTAACTTGTCTACAACTCGCTTGTCCGCATCGATTGCCGGTTATAAAAGCTTTTGGGGACATAACAAGACGTTAAGTTGCGCCCATTAAATTGCAAGTGCCTTTACTTTTAGTTCAGCTAATGTTTTTCTCAGCTTGTATCTAATGAAAAGGCTGTGTAATGGTGTTTTCTCTTTCTTTCTCTTCCACTATCTGATCCTAGTGATTTAAAGGGGCAGGCACCGCTCCTTCCCGATCCCTTCACCTCGCTAATCAGAGTGAAAGGAAGAGATGGTGCGAGTGTACAACTGTCACCCGTTCGCCGCCCAGCTGATCGTTCCCGTTCAACACGAACCGGATACTTTGTGCTGCGGCCGGGATACTCTCTTCGTGGTCTCCGCCGGGTGTAAAATCGAAGCGTTCAGCGTAACAGAGAGCGGATGCCAGCCCATCTGCACCTTTAACGCCCTCGGGAAAGTCCAGAAAATAACGTTCAGTGAAATAGGTAAAATGTCTCCGCATGGCATTCCTTAAGTCAGTGCATATGAAGACCAGATCAATAATGTGTTTGTGAAACGATTCACTTGTCATTCATTTATTTCGTGCCTCCTATTTCTCCCCATCCAGCTTGCTATCTTGTTGCAATCGAAGAGAAAAGTAATGTTCTCTCCCTGCGGGTCTACTTCAACTGGAAGGGATGCCAAGCTCAAGGGAAGTCCCGAGTTGGCGTACGGATCGTGGGGCATATGCTGCAGGCTCCATTTGAAGGAGCACCCAAAGATCAGATGGAAATCATCGAGGTGCCACTCTCGGAGCCCCCAGTCTCCGTTTCTTGTTGCCCCATCAAGGGGGACTTGGTGGTTGGCTGCCACAACAAGGTGGTTTTCTTCCGGCTGAAGGAGGTGGCACTGGCTGGTCAGAGCCCCGTGTTCGATTTCGAGCGATTTCTGGTGGTGCATGTCGGTTTGAAGCTGCTGGAAGTGGCGTTTTGCAATGGCTGCTTGGCCATGATAGCGGACCTGGAAGTGCTGGTACTGAAGTTAGAGAGGGCCAGACAAGTGGAGAACACAGCGGAGCAACAAGTTGGTCGGAAAGCAGCTCCAGTCAACAAAGCCACTGACAGAGAAAGCAATGACACTGGAGAAGGTCAGTAGAAAACCGATCGCCTGTGTACCATGCTGACCTGTGCTTCTACGGTGTTTTGAATATTTAATTCTCTGCAAATTAATACTGGCAGTCAGACCTCCTCGGCACTCCTCTTGCGTCTGAGTCGAAGACCATGGTCTAGGTTGTAACTCCCAATTTGGTGATATGCAAGTGCTTTGAGGTTATATGAGGAGCTAAGTTGATGCACCACCTTTTGGGTAGAAAGGCCCCCTGAAACTCTTTGGAAGAAAGAAAAGGGCATTCGTTTGGTCTCCTGCCCAGTATTCTTCCCCAATCAACATGACAGAGAGATTAGGATGTCATTACCCCATGGCAGCTTTTGTGGGAGCTGACTGTACACATAACAGGCAGCACAGTGGTTAGCACTGCTGCCTCGCAGCACCAGGGATCTGAGTTCAATTCTAACCTCAAGCAACTGTCTGTGTGGAGTTTGCACGTTCTCCCCGTGTCTTCATGGGTTTCTACTTGGTGCTGTGGTTTCCTCCCACAGTCCAGGAATGTGTAGGTTAGTTGGATTGCCCACGATAGATTGTCCTCTAGTGTTCAGTATTGTACAAGCTAAGTGGATTAGCCATGGTAAGAATGGGGCTACAGGGATTAGAAGGGGGGTTTCTGGGTAGGATGCTCTTTGGAGGGTTGGTGCAGATGTGATGGGCTGAATGGCCTCTATCTGTGCTCTCGGGGATTCTATGACATTGGAGGCTTGGACTTCTATGTTAAAATACTGATCATATTTTATGGGGGGGAAGGGGTCAGTTAAGCTCAGTTGCCTGAATGGCTGGTTTGCAATGCAGAGTGATACCAACACCACAGGCTCATTTCCCACACTGGCTGAGGTTTCCATGAAGGATTTGCCTTCTCAACCTCCGCTCCGCCTTTAGGTATGGTGGCCCGTAGTCCCTCCTCCCTCCCCCACCCCATCTCCCCTGCCCCTCCTTCCTCCGTCCTCATCCCTCTCACTGCAGGGAGAGAGTGGGAGTATGTTCTTGTGGAACTATGGTCCAATAGGATTATGGCAATTCTATATTTCAAAAGTTTTCAAATTGATTCTAAATTTGCGTTTGATTTATGCCATGGACACAAAAGATGTTCCTTAAATACACATCTTCATATTTGAAGGATAGAGGATGTCTCTAGGTCTGCAATGGTGAAAGCTGATTAAAATTAGCAGTCCAGAGAGGGGCAGAGATGTTAAAGTTGTTCATGTTCATGATTGCCAAGACTTGCTAGAAATGTGTCTAAGTGAATGTCAGGTTGGGATCTAATTCAAACAGTAATTGCTGGAGAAACTCCGGTCTGCCAGCATCAGTGGATGGAAAGCAGAGGTAATGTTTTGAGTCCAGTGACCCTTCATCAGTTGTCATCTGCCAAGTCTGAAGTACTGAAGAAAAGTTACTGGACTCAAAAAGTTAACTCTGCTTTCTCTCCACAAATACTACCAGACCTGCTGAGTTTTTCGAGCAACTTCTGTTTTTGTTTCAAATCTCCAGCATCTGCCCTTCTTGGTTTTATTGTAGGGGGTATACTTCAATCTGACTGGGACCCCCCTTCTTTCTGAACAGTCAAAAGAAAGTTCGTACATATTGTTTATTTGAGATTTCAGGCAACGAATAACCAGTTAGGAAGGGCATCAACACCTGTACTGTCTGACCACCAAAAATGGAATAGCCAGTATTTCAGGTGAGGTGGGGGAGAAACATTTGTTGGGATGGAGAAGTGAATTACAAACTTTCAACCCGCAGTCATTCAACATTTTGATTAAGACAAGTCAGATGATGCAGTGTAAAAATCCAGTGCCACGTCCTGTAAATCTCTGCACTGAGAGGGCCTTGCTGCCTAAACATTCATAGTTTTGTATTTAACAATATCTGGGATGGTAACATGACAGTTCATTAGCAATTATGAATCATTTGTCTTGAGCATTGTTGTCACTTGAACGATATGGGGGTGACATGCGTAAATTTCAGTTTTGGAGGAAACCTGGCAGATGACGCAAAAGTGGTTGGGAAGATGAGTGGTGAGGATGATACAACTATCTGCAGAGGGATATAGACAGGTTAAACAAATAGACAAAACTTAGCAGATGGAATATAATGTGGAGAAATATGAGATCATGCACTCTGGTAGAATATTATTGAATATTATTGAAATTGAGAAAGACTGCAGATAGCTACAGAACAGAGGGATCCTTCTGCATGAATCATAATAAGTTAGCATGCAAGTTCAGCAGGTAATAAAGAAGGCAAATAGAATGTTGGCTTTTATTTCAATGTGGATGCAGTACTAAAATAGGAAGGGTTTGCTAAAACTATACAAGGCATTAGTCTGACCACAGCTGGAAGACTGAACAGTTTTGGGCCAGTTTATCTAAGGAAAGATATAATAGTATTGGAGGCAGTCCAGAGAAGATTTACTAGGCTGATACCAAGTATGGAGGGAGATAGTAGGAACTGCAGATGCTGGAGAATCCGAGACAACAAGGTGCAGGGCTGGATGAACACAGCAGGCCAAGCAGCATCATAGGAGCAGAGAGGCTGACGTTTCGGGCCTAGACCCTTCATCAGAAAAGGGGGAGGGGAAGGGGGTTTTGAAATAAATAGGGAGAGAGTGGGAGGCGGATAGAAGAGGGATAGAGGAGAGGATAGGTGGAGAGGAAACAAACAGGTCGTAGAGGCGGGGATGGAGCCAGTAAAGGTGAGTGTAGGTAGGGAGTTAGGAAGGGGATAGGTCAGTCCAGGGAGGACGGACAGGTCAAGGGGGCGGGATGAGGTTGGTCGGTAGGAGATGGAGGTGCGGCTTGAGGTGGGAGGAGGGGATAGGTGGGAGGCAGGGACGAGCTGGGCTGGTTTTGGGATGCGGTAGGGGGAGGGGAGATTTTGAAACTTGTGAAATCCACATTGATACCATTGGACTGCAGGGTTCCCAAGCGAAATATGAGTTGCTGTTCCTGCAACCTTCGGGTGGCATCGTTGTGGCACTGCAGGAGGCCCAGGATGGACATGTCGTCTGAGGAATGGGAGGGGGAGTTGAAATGGTTCGCGACTGGGAGGTGCAGTTGTTTGTTGCGAACCGAGCGTAGGTGTTCTGCAAAGCGGTTCCCGAGTCTCCGCTTGGTTTCCCCGATGTAGAGGAAGCCACACCGGGTACAGCGGATGCAGTATACCACATTGGCAGATGTGCAGGTGAACATCTGCTTGATGTGGAAAGTCTTCTTGGGGCCTGGGATGGGGGTGAGGGAGGAGGTATGGGGGCAGGTGTAGCACTTCCTGCGGTTGCAGGGAAAAGTGCCGGGTGTGGTGGAGCTGGAGGGGAGTGTGGAGCGGACAAGGGAGTCACTGAGAGAGTTGTCCCTCCGGAAAGCAGATAAGGGTGGGGAGGGAAAGATGTCTTTGGTGGTGGGGTCGGATTGCAGATGGCGGAAGTGTCGGAGGATGATGCGTTGGATCCGGAGGTTGGTGGGGTGGTACGTGAGGACGAGGGGGATTCTTTTTTGGTTCTTATTGCGTGGACGGGGTGTGAGGGATGAGGTGCGGGAGATGTGGGAGACACGGTTGAGGACGTTCTCGACCACCGAGGAGGGGAAGTTACGGTCCTTGAAAAATGAGGACAACTGAGATGTACGGGAGTGGAATGCCTCATCCTGGGAGCAGATGCGGCGGAGGCGAAGGAATTGGGAATAGGGGATAGCATTTTTGCAGGAAGGTGGGTGGGAGGAGGAGTATTCTAGGTAGCTGTGGGAGTCAGTGGGCTTGAAATGAATATCGGTTTCTAGGTGGTTGCCCGATATGGAGACAGAGAGGTCCGGGAAGGGGAGAGAGGTGTTAGAGATGGTCCCGGTAAACTTAAGGTTGGGGTGGAAGGTGTTAGTGAAGTGTATGAACTGTTCGAGCTCCTCGTGGGAGCACGAGGCGGCGCCGATACAGTCATCAATGTAACGGAGGAAGAGGTGGGGTTTAGGGCCGGTGTAGGTACGGAAGAGGGATTGTTCCACGTAACCTACAAAGAGGCAGGCGTAGCTTGGGCCCATGCGGGTACCCATGGCTACCCCCTTTGTCTGTAGGAAGTGGGAGGAATTGAAAGAGAAGTTGTTGAGTGTGAGGACGAGTTCGGCTAAGCGGATGAGGGTATCAGTGGAGGGGGACTGGTCGGGCCTGCGGGACAGGAAGAAGCGGAGGGCCTTTCGGCCATCTGCATGGGGAATGCAGGTGTAGAGGGACTGGACGTCCATGGTAAAGATGAGGTGTTGGGGACCGGGGAATTGGAAGTTCTGGAGGGGGTGGAGGGCGTGGGTGGTGTCACGGACATAGGTGGGGAGTTCCTGGACCAAGGGGGAGAAAATGGAGTCTCGATAGTTGGAGATAAGTTCGGTGGGGCAGGAGCAGGCGGAGACAATGGGTCGACCAGGGCATTCAGGTTTGTGGATTTTGGGAAGGAGATAGAAGCGGGCAGTGCGAGGTTGGGGAACGATGAGGTTGGAGGCCATGGGTGGGAGGTCACCTGAGGTGATGAGGTTGTGGATGGTTTGCGAGATGATGGTTTGGTGCTCAGGGGTGGGGTCATGATCAAGGGGGCGGTAGGAGGAGGTATCGGAGAGTTGGCGCCTGGCCTCGGCGATGTAGAGGTCAGTGCGCCATACTACAACTGCGCGTATGGAGGGATTGTCTTGTGAGGAGAGGTTTGTAGATTGGCTCTGTGTTCCTTGAAGTAAGAAGAATGACAGGCAACATCTTTGAAACATTCAAGATTCTCGGGGGCTTGCCAGGTTAGTTCTAGAGAGGTTGTTTTCCCCTCACGGGAGATTCTAGGACCAGGGAGCATAATCTCAGAGTAAAGGGTAACATGATTAGGACAGATGAGGAGGAATTTCTTCTCTAGGGTAATTTATCTATGGAATTCTTTACCACAGTGGGTTGTCAATGCTGTGTCATTATGTGTATTAAAGGCTGAGGTGGTCAGAATTTTCAATCTGTAAGGGAATCAAGGATTATTAGAGAAATGGAGTTGAAGATTATCAGATCAGCCATAATCTAATTGAACAATGGAACAGCCTCGATGGGCTGAATAGCCTATTTCTGTAACTACGTCTTATCGTTGCTTCTCAGATAGATCTGAACAACCCCGTCTAACGATTCAAAGGTGATCGAGGGCTTGTTTCTGATGTCCTGGTTCATTTTATGTATGGTTCAGCCAGTGCTCGTAAACAGATCACCTGGTTATTATCACATTACTGCTCGGGTTTTTGTGCAAATTGACTGCAGAATTTCTCGCCTTCCAATAACGATTCCAGTTTCACTTGGATGTCAAGTGTCTCTGGATATGCCAAGGGCATGAAATGTGCTAAATAAACTTTGCCTTTCTTTCAGTTGAAAGGAAAATCCCTTGGAGAACATCAGGTATCTCTGATTAGTAACTGATGATATCCAGCCACTGGTGGAAATTACCCCCCACTCAGACAGTAGGACGGTGTTGCTAGTGGCCCATGCTACAAGGATATCAGCCTATCTCAGTCCTAATGCATTTGTGCAATTTTTATTTTTCTCGCAGCATCTCTGAGCCAAGGACAGGATGAATTTGTTTTCTTCCAAAGGCCTTTGGAATTACTTGGTGAAGACACTTGGGGCTCTGGAGTTGTGGTCAATTTGGAGTGGACAGGTGCGGAGAGTTTGACAACTGAGCAGCATAATAATCTGTACTTACGACGGATACTATACAGGTGAGGCAAGGTTGATCTTTAGGATCTATAAACTGTCACTTCATTGCATTCAGTTCTAGTCGCCACATTACAGGAGGGATGTAGGGAGAGGGTGCAGAAGAGGTTTACCAGGATGTTGCCCGGATTAGAGGGTATGAGCTATAAGAAGAGGCTGGACAAAATAGGGTTGTTTTCTCTGGAGTGGCACAGGCTGAGGGGAGACTTGATCGAAGTTTATAAAATTATGAGATGCACAGATTGGGTTGATGGTAAGAATCTTTTTCCCAGATGTGAAATGTCTAATAGTGGAGGGCATGCAATTAGGGTTGGAGGGGGAAAAGTTTGTTTTACACAGACTGGTAGGAGTCTGAAACACGTTATCAGGTGATGGAGGCAGATGCAATACATCTAAGTAATTTTTAAATGAGCACATGAACAAGCAAGGAATGGAGGGATAGGGATCATGGATGGCAGAAGGAATTAGTTTAATTTGGCATCGTGTTTGGCACCGCACTGTAGGCCAAAAGGCCTGTTCCTGTGTTCTACAGTTCTATGTTCTATGTCACTGTGTGGGCTCCTATATAAAATTAATTTTAATGAGCACTCTGAATTGCATTTGCCTAACACGTTAAAATAGTATTAAATTTGATTTTCATTTTGGAATAAATCATTTTCATGTAACCAGTCACTCTTGGCTCTTCCCACGTGACTTTCAATCAGGTCAAAGAAACTTTTTACATCCGTGGACGGGATGTTGGTTTACTTAGTAAGGCACATCCGTAGTTGCTTCAAACTAGTTGGCTTTCTCCATAGAGCCTTTCAGAGGGCATCAGAGTCAACCACATTGTTGTAGTCTGGTTTCACATCCAGGCTACACTGGGTAAGGATGGCAGATTTACTTCCATAAGTGGCTTTTATGACAATTGATGTGATTGCCATTAGTCAGGTTTTTCTTAATTCCAGATTTTTTTGGAATTTCCATTTCACCATCCTGCCATAGTGGGATTTGACCTCTTGTTCCCAGAACAATTTCTGGATTTCTCGTCCGGTGACATTAACACGATGCCATGAACTCTATGATCGTGTTGCTGCCAATCTAACCGGCTATTAGATGCTGTCTAACAGCATGGGACAATTTCAGATTTTGTTTTAATGGCTGTTACCTCTCCAATTCCTTTGGTAAAGCTGAAATATGCGATAAGGAATGTAATACGTCTTTCATTGATAGAACATGGGCTCAAACTTGTGGTCTGCCACATAGAATCCTGATCTTGGCCACGTTGTCCTGGCCCTGGCCCTGGCTCCTGGTTTCAACTATGAAATGCAGTGTAGGTCAAGAATTGACACTTTGACTGTATTCATCAATGGGAAAGGACACACTTGAGACAAATTTCAGTTATAGCCTCTTTTCGTTTCTTTGAACTGGTTCAGATCAGACCAGACCACCCTGCAGGGAAGGCGATGACCTAGGGGTGTAATTGCCAGACTATTAATCTACAGACCCAGGTAATATCTTGGGGACCTGGTTTCAAATTCGGCCATAGACTCTGGAATTAAGGGTTCAAAAATGACCTTGAAACCATTGTCAATTGTTGGAAAAGTTTAATGCCCTGTAAGGAAGGAAACTGTTATCCTTACCTGGTCTGGCCTACATCTGACTCCAGACCCACAGCAATGTGGTTGACTCATAACTGCCCTTTGAGCTGTAAATGCTGGCCTAGCTAGTGATGCCTGGATAGACCAGCGTTTATAACTTATTCCTAATAGCCCAAAGGACAGTTAAGAAACAACCACATTGCTGTGAATGAATAGAAAAATGAATGAATAGGGGGGAGAAAATGTTGTGATAATAAAGGTCAAGTGAATTTTTGACAGGGTGTGAATGGAATCTGATTTCCAAAATATGCTGGACTTATGCATGAAAATAAAATCAGTTGTCTTTGAGGGATTAGACACTGAGAAACTTTCTGCTGACCAGGGAGTAGTGGTGGTGGTGAGGGAAAGGAATGTGTGGGTAACGGAGATCATTAACCAGAAAACACAGATTACATTTAACTGGTAAAACACCGGAGCAAAATGTATGCAGCACATTAGAATGCTCTGGAGTGCCCTTCCTCAAGGTAATCGAAGCAGATTTAAAAGTTAACTCTTTTACAATGGGAATTTGATGTAAAACTTTAAAACAAGTTGCTGGAATGTGGAGAAAGTGGGAGAATGGGAACTAACTACATAGCTTTGGCACAGGCATGAGAGTTTGAACTGTCTCTAATTATACTACATCATTTTGTGCTCTTTCCTACATGAAATCTTGAATTGTCTTCTCCCAAGTCTTCCCTCCAAAAACATTCTTCTATGTGTTAGCCTCATTTTCGTGCTTCCAGAGCTTAAGAATACATCACCTGTTCCCAGGTTCACTGTAGATAGTCATCAACAACCATTTGGCAAGCAGCACTTGCCAACCAATAATTTCCTTTCTTACTCCTTTCCAAATTGGGATTTTTTTTTTAAAAATGGGGAGCTTGCAGAGGTTGATTGTAGTAGTTTGTTGCATGCAAAGGGACCTCTGGCTAGTGGGAGGCCTTTAAAAGTGTGATAGTTAGAGTTCAAGGTCTATATGTTCCTGTGAGGGTGAAGGGCAAGATTGGCTGGAGTACGGAACTCTGGATGACAAGAGATATTGAGGCTTTGACTAGAAAGAAGAAGAAGGAGTTATGGCTCAGGTGCAGGCAGCTGGGATCAAGGGAATCCCTGGAGGAATGTAGGGGATACAGGAGTTTACTGAAGAAAAATCAGGAGGGCGAAAAGGGGGCATGAGTAGTTGTGGCTGAGCAGATTAGGGTGAATCAAAAGAGATTCTTTCAGTATATTAAAGGAAAAAGAATAACTAGAGAGAGAATATGACCCCTCCAGGACCAAAGTGGACATTTTGTGGGCAACTGCAGGAGATGGGCGAGATCCTCAATGAATATTTCTCCTGTGTTTACCGCGGAGAAAGACATGAAGACTTGAGAACCTGGGGAAGTTAGTGGCAATATCTTGGGGACAGTCCATATCACAGCAGAGGAAGCGTTGGAACTATTAGAATGTATAAAGGTGGATAAATCTCCTAGTCCTGATCAGATATGTCCAAGAATCCTGCAAGAGACTAGAGAAGAAATTGCGGGGGCCCTGGCTGATATATTTGCATCATTGTTAGCCACGGGTAAGGTCCCGGAAGACTGGAGGGTACCGAATGTTGTGTCCTTATTCAAGAAGGGTTGCAAAGAAAAGCTTGGGAATGAGAGACCAGTAAGCTTAATATCTGTGGTAGGTAAGTTACTTGAGAAGATTCTGAAGGATAAGATATACATGCATTTGGAAAGACAGGGTTTGATTATGAGCAGTCAGTAGGGCTTTGTATGTGGGAGATCATGCCTCAGAGATCTGTTAGAGTTCGTTGATGAAGTAACCACAAAAGTTGATAATGGCAGGGCGGTAGATGTAGTCTACATGGATTTTAGTAAGGCCTTTGATAAGGCTCCATATGGTAGGCTGCTCTGGAAGGTTAGATTGCACGGAATCCAGGGGGAGCTGGCAAATTGGATACACAATCCTCTTGATGGTAGGGAGCAGAGAGTAATAGTGGGAAGATGCTTGTCTGACTGGAAGCATGTGACTAGTGGTGTGCAACAGGTGATGGACCTATTGCTGTTTGTTATCTATTATCAATGATTTGGATGAGAATGTACAAGGCATGATTGTGGTATTGTGGACAGTGAGGAAGGTTATCAGAAATTGTAGCAGGATCTTGATCAGCTGGAGAAGTGGGCCGAGAAATGGCAAATGGAGTTTAATATAGATAAGTGTGAGGTGTTGCATTTGGAAAGTCAAATCGAGGTAGGAGTTTCATGGTGAATGGTAGGGCCTTAAGGAGTGTAGTGGAACAAATAGACCTTGGAGTTCAGGTGCACGGTTCTCTGAAAGTGGAGTCACAGGTAGACAGGGCAGTGAAGAAAGCTTTTGGCACATGGCCTTCATCAGTCAGGGCGTTGAGTATAGAAGTTGGGAAGTTATGTTGCAGTTGTACAGGACATTGGTGAGGCTGCACTTGGAGTATTATGGCTATTGGAAGGATGTTATTAAACTGGAAAGAGTGCAGAAGAAATCTACAAGGATGTTGCCAAGACTCAAAGGGCTGAGTTATAGGGAGAGGTTGGACAAGCTAGGACCTTTTCCTTTAGAGCGTATGAGATTGAGGGGGGATCCGTACGGAAGTGCATAAGATCATGAGAGGAACAAAAACAGAAGTTGCTGGAAAAGTTCAGCAGGTCTGGCAGCATCTGTGAAGAAGAAACCAGAGTTACCATTTCAGGTCCGGTGAACCTTCCTCAGAACTGCTCTGTGGAAGTGTCACTGGACCCAAAACGTTAACTCTGATTTTTTTTCTTCACAGGTGCTGCCAGATCTGCTGAGCTTTTCCAGGAACTTCTGTTTTTGTTCCTGATTTACAGCATCCGCAGTTCTCTTGATTTTTATTAAGATCATGAGAGGCATGGATAGGGTGAATGTACTCCATCTTTTTCCTGGGGCTGGGGAATCGAGGACTGGAGGGCATCAGTTTAAAGGTAAGAAGGGAAAGAATACATGGCAACCTGAGGGGCAATTCTTTTACACAGAGGGTGGTATGCATATGGAATGAGCTGCCAGTGGAAGTGGTTGAGGCAGGTACATTAACAACATTTAAAATGCATTTGGACGAATACATGGATAGGAAAGGTTTAGAAGGATGTGGGCCAAGTGCAGGGAAATGGGGTTAGCGTGGATGGACATTCTGGTCGGCATGGACCAGTTTGGGCCTAAGGGACTGTCTCTGTGAATCTATGTCTCTATATAATTTTTAAAGATGAATTGTAATTTTGCTTTTTTTCTCTATTCAAAGGCGTTTTGCTCCTGATCTAGCTCACATTTACTCTGTTGAAGAGACTGCTCTGCATTCCCTTCAGTTACTCCCGATGTTCGCTACAGGTACTGTAACTTACAGCACAAATTCTAAGTTAGATTCGTTCAATTAACATTGGACTTCAGGGGGTTTTAGTGTAAAATTTTGCCTCTGGCAATACAACCTTGAGGGGGTAGGGGAGAGAGGGAGTTTTTGTGTGTCTGTGTGTATGTGCTGGTTAATTCATAGCATGAGCTAATCAGCTCCTCCCAATCCCTTGAACAGAACATGTAACCAACCGTTGTCTGCATTTTTACATTCTGCCAATATTCCCAATTATTTTCGCACAATTTTATTTTTGTTTCCCTTTGTTCAAATCAGCCATCTACTTTCTTACCATTATCTTCTCTCCTTATTACAATTGCTTTTCTCTCCCAGGTTCTTTTGTACTGAACCTCTTCCCATTGTCTGACCCAGAATTAATTTCCATTCCCAAGTCCTGGTCTTTTCTGGTTCTCTCAAGTCAAAACTCTCTCTGCTTTCAAACCTTATGTCGTATCATTTACATCCTAGCAATTTCCCAGCATTTAAACTGCAAGTGTCCCTTTAGCCGTGGAACGGGGTCAAATCAACTGAGTGAAATTAAAGAAAGCTGATTTTTTTGAAGAGAAAGCGGGCTCGGGGGTGGGACGGGGCAGTAAATTGAAGAGAAAAAGCAAACAAAAACATTCAGAGATAGTAAGAACTGCCGATGCTGGAGTCTGAGATAACACAGTTTGGAGCTGGAGGAACACAGCTGCCCAGGCAACATCAGAGGAGCAGGAAAGCTGACGTATCAGGTGACCCTTTCTGAAGAAGGGTCTAGGCCCGAAATGTCAGCCTTCCTGCTCCTCTGATGCTGCTTGGTCTGCTGTGTTCATCCAGCTCAACACCTTGTTGTATCAGGTCGGGACCCTTCTGCAGGTCCACACTGTGTTAAACAGAAACATTGGTTATTTTAATAAAAATGTAGAAAGTATTTTATGTGCAGTCTAGAGAGATACAGGAAAAGTAAACAAAAACTGCTACAAAATGACTGCACATGAGTGGACAGAAAGAAACTAAAGATAAAGAAAACAGGAAATGAAAGCTTTCGAGAAAGAGGAAGACGTAGTGAGAGAGATTCAGACTGACCGACAAGAAGGTGACAACGAGACAGGAGAGGAATACTTCTCTTTCTAAAAAAAAATTGTTCTTGGGATGTGAGTGTCACAGTCTAGGCCAGTCTTAATTGCCTAGAGGACAGTTCAGAGTCAACCACATTGCTGTGGGCCTGGAGTCACGTGTAGGCCAAACCAGGTAAGGATGGCAGTTTCCTTCCCTTAAGGACATTAGTGAATCAAAGGGGTTTTGCCCAACAATCAGCAATCATTAGACTCTTAATTCCAGATTTTACTTTTCATTGAATTTAAGTTCCACCATCTGCCATGGTGGGATTTGAAACCAGGTCCCCAGAAAATTACCAGGGTCTCTGGATTAATAGAACAGTGATAATACCACTAGGCCATCGCTTTCCCACTATTTTCTTTCTCTCTTTAACGATCACCCACTGGGCATCTTCGTGTTTAAGGGCGGCACGGTGGCTCAGTGGTTAGCACTGCTGCCTGTCAGCACAGGGACCTGGGTTCAATTCCACCCTCGGGCGACTGTCTGTATGGAGTTTGCACATTCTCCCCGTGTCTGCATGGGTTTCCTCCGGGTGCTCTGGTTTCCTCCCATAGTCCAAAGATGTACAGGTTAGGATGGATTGACCAGGGTAAATTGCCCGTAGTGTTCAGGGATGTGTAGATTAGGTGGGTTATAGGGTGGGATGCTCTGAGGGTCAGTGTGGACTTGTTGGGCCAAAGGGCCTGTTTCCATACTGCAGGAATTCTGAGTCTATGCCATTGCTAGCATTATCTACTTTTATTACAAAAATTTAGAGGAATCAGAAAGCAGGCTGTTTTGAGGAGAGAGATTCAAAAGTCTTTTTTGGAGAGATTATAGAAATTAGGCCTGTTTTTTCTCTGGAATTTAGAAGGTTAAGGGTGGCCTGATTGAAGTCTGCAAGATATTTACTAGAAAAGACAGTGTATAAAGACAAACTATTTCCATTGGTTGGAGATTCTAGAACTAGGGGGCATAGTCTGAGAATTATGGCCAGACCATTCAGGAGAGATGTTAGGAAGGGTGATAGATGTTTGGAATTGTCTTCCACAGACAGCAGTGGATGCTGGATCAGTTATTAATTTTAAATCCGAGATGGATAAATGTTTGTTAAGCAAAGGCATTAAGGAATAAGGGCCAAAGGGAAGTGCCTGGAGTTAGGGCACAAGTCAGCCACAATCTCATTGAATGGTGGGACAGGTGTCAGGGGCCGAATGGCCACCATCTGCCTGACGTTCTAGAACAAAAGTATTAACACGGCCCCAGCTAGTTTAGTTGCATATCTGTTGGATATGTGTAAGTCAGTCAGTCACTCAATGGTAAGCAAGTGCCAGGCATTCCAGCTGCATTAGCGCAGGGAGTGGTGGGGACATGGAATACGCTGTCGGCAGTGGTACTGGAGTCAGATACATGAGAGACGTTTAAACAGCTCTTGGATAGGCACATGGAGGATACTAAAATGGAGGGTATGCAGGGTAGTTTGATCTTAGTAGGATAATAGGTCAGCACAACATCATGGGCTGAAGGGCCTGTACTGTTCTACGTTCGACAAGCAGCCCAGCTCCAGTTATCACTATCTCACTACGGTGAGAACGCTTCGCACATCAACTCAGCTGAACCCTGCAGTGTCTGGTTTTCTCTGTTGCACCATAGATGTACAGGCTGCCACCTAAGTACTTGTCCAGTTCTTGATCTATCTGCAGATCATGTCGTTAACCTCTCAAATCAAGTCAAATGATGTCTTTGATAAGGTCTAATCATAATAGTGTTTTGCGTATTTTTCGAGAAGCATCAGAATAATGCACGTATCTTCTCTTTTCTTTTGGTTTAGGAGATTCAGAATCGGCTGCTGGCTCTGGGAGGAAGGACAAGCAAGTGCTCAGCCTTTTCTGTTTCTTTTCCTTGCCACACGTAGGCTGCTTGTATGCAGTTGGCAATATGGTACAGCAGCTCTCCACCTATAACTATCCAGAAAAGGCCAAGCAAGCAGTGATTAGTCCTCAGTTTCTGCACGTCATTACCAGGTACAAAGAAATTCAGTCAAAGAATATTCTGCATCGTAGCCATCAGATCTTTTAACGTGTGCATTAGGAGCCAAGGTTGGTTCTTCAAGCCTGCTCCACCATTCAATTAGATCATGACTTAATCAATTTGTGTTCCAGATTCCATATACCCTTGATAACCTGCGATTTCTTTTCCTCGCAAGAATCTACCTCTACCCTAAAAGATAGTCAATAATAACCCCCTCTACCACACTCTGAGCTAGAGAGTTTCAAAGTTTTTCAACCCTCAAAGGAATTTTCCTTCATCTGTGTCATAAAATGGTGGTCTCTAATCTTTAAAAGAAAAAGAGGCCTCCTGTTGCGGATGTCTCCAGAACTAAAGCACATTACTTTTAATGTCCATATTGTAGAAACCACCTTATTAAAGCAACCAAATCACCACCACCTCTAAGCTCTAGCCCAATCTTTCCTCATTAAAATAACCCTGCTCATTCCAGTTATCAGTAAACCCACTCTGAACTTCCTCCGAGACATTTGCATTCTTCCTTAAATAAGGGAGACCACAACTGCACACAGTACTCGATTTGTGGTCTTGCCATTGCTCTGTAGAACTGAAGCATAACATCCTTATTTTTGTGTTCAGTTCCTCTTTAACAAAGTCCAACATCCCATTAACTTTCTTCATCAGCTGCATATTTCCTGACTCATGTATGAGAACTCCTAGATCCCAGCACACTTTGGAATTCTGCAGTCGCTTCCATTTAAATAATACTTTTTTTTAAAAGAATGATTCCTGCCAAAGTAAACAACTTTGTATTTTCCTGCTTTATCTTGATGGAAACTTTTCAAAAATCTAACAGATTTTGGAAACTTAATATGCTACTTCATTGGCAACCCTTTTTAAAACTCTAGCATGAAGTCCAATGAGACCTAGACAAACATCAAACTGCAGCTCTGTTTGTTTAGTACTATTTCTATGTCACAGGGGCGGAATGGTGGCTCAGTGGTTAGCACTGCTGCCTCACAGTGCCAGGGATTCTGGTTTGATTCCACCTTCGGGTGACTCTGTGTGGAGTTTGCACATTCTCCTCATGTCTGTGTGAGTTTCCTCCAGGTGCGCCAGTTTCCTCCCATGGTCCAAAGCTGTGCAGGTTATTGCCCATAGTGTCCAAGGATGTGCAGGCTAGATGGACTAGCCATGGGGGAATGTAGGGTTGCAGGGATAGGCTGGGAGGGGTTGTCTTGGTGGGATGCTCTTCAGAAGGTCACTGTGGAGTCTGAGGTTGAATGACCTGCTTCCACACTGTAGGGATTCTAGTGACATTAATATTGCCAAGTTCCATTCTTCCTTCAATATCCAGATGCACAGTATTCAGAATATGAATATTGTATGTTCTGTAGTTGTTATGACACAGAGAGGGAAATAAATCAGTCCTTATACCTTGTATTCACATCACAGTAAAGTTAAATTGTTGAGGATCCCTGATAGCTACTCCGATGGATCCTAACTGGACTTTTGGATAACCAATCCCAGACTTTGAGTAATTAATTTCCAGTCACAAGTTTTGTATCTCAAACAAAGACTTAACTATTTATTAAATACATAACTCTAGCTGAGAGGAAATTAAACATCATAGAATCTCCTACAGTATGGAAACAGGCCATTTGGCCCAACAAGTCCACACCGACTCTCCAAAGAGCAACCCACCAGACTCACCCACCTACCTTTTTCCTCTAACCCTGCATTTCCCATGGCTAATCCACCTAACTTACTTATCCCTGTCGCTATGGGCAATTTAGCATGGCCAATCCACCTAACCTGTACATCTTTGGACTGTGGGAGGAAACCGGAGCACCCAGAGGAAACCCACACAGACATGGGGAGAACATGCAAACTCCACACAGTCAGTAGCCCAAGGCTGGAATGGTAGTCTAATTAATGGTAATGATATTAAATTGATTAAACACGGTAATCTAATTCATGTTTATGCTTTATACCTGAAGTTCTGTTTTTAGCCCCCATTCACACAAAGGACAGCCTGGCAAACAGACACAGTTAAGACAGAAATAAAAAAAGATTACCAAAAAAAAAACTGGCCAGAATATTTAAATGGATTTCATGATGCATTGTTTCACAGGCATAGATGTGGACTCCTGGTTGTTTTCCTGAAATGTTGATCAGAGTCACTTTTTCAATTCATTCACGTAAAGGTAGCAATACTTCTAACTCGGTGTTCTACTGTCTGGGCTTCCAAAATTTGGTCTGGGAGATTAGGCAGGGAGCTTTCAACTCTCATGCTATGTCATCAACCAAACTCACTTCCTCAGAAAAATAATATTCCTTCCTGAGGCCAACTATCTTTCTCAAAGCCTCAATTACCATTTAACATCTGGTTGAATGTGGGTTCTCTTCCAGACTCGACAGAACCAGTTCCCAGGTACTGACTTCATTTATAGCTAACCTCTGCTATCCGTTTAAACAGAATGCCCCTTCCAGGATCACTGTGTCTCTAGGAGCCCTTTTAATCGAGAATCAGCTTGCAATTAGAGTCCAAGCCTAGCCTCTCAAACAAACAAAGTTTTAGTCTGTTCTTTTCTTTATAGCACAAGCTGTTTCAAATTCCACAAGTCATCTTCAACTCCAACTCCAATCTGGAATTGATAAAAGAATAAAAAAATTAGAACCATGAAAAATTAACAAGGGTTCTACAATAGTGAAGACAGAAGCAAAATATTTCAATTACATTTGCCATTTCTTTATCTACTGTTAATACTCCATTTTGTCAGCCCCCCCACTCCCCCTCCCATGCCCACCCGAGGGCCAACACTCATTTTACATACTTTACCCTTTTAGATACCTGTATTAGGGTATTTAGACAGAATGAGGCATACAAGGTTATGGTTGCGCAGGAGGTGCAGAAAGACGAGATCAGCATTGGCAAGATCAACATTAGGTTTGAAATTAGATTGGTCCATTCAGCAGTCTAATAATAGCAGTGAGGAATCTGTTCTTGAACCTGTTGGTACACGTGTTCGAGCTTCTGCCTGATGGAAGAGAGTATTATTGGGGTTGGATGAAGTTGGCAGCCTTTCCGCAGCAATGCGAAGTGTAGATGGAGTCCATGGTTGGGAGACTGGCTTTCGTGATGGTCTGGGCTGTGCACACCACTTTCTGCAGTCTCTTACGGTGCTGGGCAGAACAGTTGCTGCACCAGGCCGTAATGTGCCCGGACAGAATGCTTTCTGTGGTGTATCTGTAAAAGTTGGTGAGTGTCCTTGTGGACATGCCAAATTTCTTGAGCCTTCTGAGGAAGAAGTGTTGCTGTGCTGCTTCACTGTCCCATTTACGTGGGGAGGTCCAGGACAGATTGATGGTTATTGTCACTCCTGGGAAATTGACCTTCTTGACCCTCTCTCACCTCAGCTCTATTGATGTAGGTCGGAGCGTGATCTCCTCCTTCCTTCCTGACAGCACAGAACTAAAATTCTAAACTGCTATGAAGTTAGGTTCAGTTTACAAGGCTCCAGATCGGCAGAAGCCTGACTCAACACTTACCAGAAGACAGGATAATTTGAAATGTTTCTCATCCCACTTTTCAATCACTTTACAATGGGTCTGGAATCACATGTCGGCCAGCCTAGATCATGGTATTAATCATATTATTACACCACCTCTTACTCTAGATTTGTATTGAATCCAAATTTCCGTGGTGGGATTAGATATTATAAAATACAATTTTTAAAAAATGTGGATGCAGGAAATCTGAAGCAAAATCAGAAATTGCTGGGGAAACTGAGCTCTGAAGGAGGGTCGCTAGACTTGAAACATCAACTCTGCTTTTTCTTGACAAATGCTGCCAGACCTGCTGATTTTCTGTATTTGTCCCCAAAATATTAGGCCTTCGACTCTAGATTACTACCCAGAATTGCTATGGTCCAGAAGGGGTCCATTCGGTTCATTGTGCCCGTACTAGCTCTGCAAATGAGCATCAATACTACTTCAGCTTATCCCGAATTGGACATCATTGAATCATTTCATGAAGTGTAAATGAGCTCCACAGAGAGAGACCTGCAAGCTGCCTGATATTTGACATTGGCACGTCATGTTAGCCTCTAGATGATACAAATTGCTTAGACAGAACTTGAGGCATTTCTCACCATTGTGATAGAATATTTTAAATTCAGCACCCTGGCAGAGTCCTTATCTGAACATGTGCAGTAAAAGTAGAAAATTCTGGAATTACTCAGAAGACCTGGTAGAAGTGTCTGAGAGAAATAGGGTTAATGTTTCAAGCCCTCGACCTTTCTTCGTAATTTGGAAAAAAGTTAGAAATGTATTAGATTTTGAACAATTAACCTTCATGCCACTCGAGTGCCAGACAATAACCAGTTGTCAGGCAGTTCTGGCCACAAACACTGACCAAATCCTGACCTTCAATAGCAAAAACCCCATCATACAGAGCTGCATTAAGACACTGTTTAAACAAGTCATATCACACCCCAGAATTCCGGAGAATGGAAGAGTTCAGGTATTGCCTTTCTTCAGTCCTGTTTGTTGGCTGCTCCTTTCCTCCAGATGCTACCTGGCCTGCTGTGTTCTTCCAGCCTCCTGTTTGTCTACCTTGGTTCCAGCATCTGCAGGTTTATTGTCTCTAAAGGTGTAACTTGGACCCTGGTGGGTTCCAGTTGCAACATCTTCTATTTGAAGTGGAAATTGCTCTATTCAAGATCAGGCTGAGCGAGATGGAGAACAGGGATTCATTTTGTCTTGGGCCGAAGAAGTGGAGCGATCTCGGGCCACGTGGTAGATGGAGGTGTAGATGATTGGACATTGTTTAGTTTGTCTTTGTTCCTGCCATTCACACCTCTAGTTAGTTTGTTCGCACCATGAAGTTTATTGTTATTTAATTTTGCCTGCCTCCATCTGATCACAGACCTTCCCTACTTCCTCCCTCTTCCCTCTTTTCTCTTGTTTTAAAATCTAAAACATTCCTAACTTCTCCAGTTCTGAGCAAGGTCACAGATTTGAAGTGCTCTCTCTGTTTCTCTCTAACCGAGGCTGTTAAACTTGCTGAGTGCTTCCAGCATTTTGTGTTTTTATTTCAAGTTTCCATCATCCAATGCATTTTGCTTGAAATTAGAGGATTGTCATTAATGATGGTGGCTTTCAATAGATTGTTCCCTCTGAGCGATCAGTGATATCTGCCATTCATTCTTATTCACTAATCCTAACCCATCTCACCCCTGACTTGTGCCTTGGTAGATGGTGTAGAGGCTTAAGGGAGACAGGAGATCATATCATAGAATCCCTACAGTGTGGAAGCAGGCCATTTGGCCCATCGAGTCCACACCAATCCTCTGAAGACCATTCCATGCAGACCCATCTCCCTGTCCTATCCCTGTAACCCTGCATTTCCCATGGCTAATCCACCTAGCCTGCACACCCTAGATATTATGGGCAATTTAGCATGGCCAACCCAGCTAACCTGCACATCTTTGGACGGTGGGAGGAAACTGGAGCACCCGGAGGAAACCCATGCAGACACTGGGAGAACGTGCAAACTCCACACAGACAGTTGCCCGAGGCTGGAATTGAACTGGGGTCCCTGGCGCTGTGATGAATTACTCACTGCAGAATTCTGGCCAATTAATCTCTAAGGATGTTGATAGTGATGGTAACACTATTGAGTGTCATGGGGCAATGGCTAGATACTCATTGCTGAATTTGTTCATTGCTTGATACTTGTGTAGTGCAAATATTACTTGGCTTTCTCTTGACTTGCCCTCCAGGCAGGCAAATACTTTGAAAATGTCTTTTAATGAAGGAGTCTGTCACCAGTTAGCTCAATGGCAGCTAACTTGAAAGTGAGCTTTTTCAATCCATAGAACAATGATCATATTGCACATTTAGTATTGTTTCAGAAATAGTGGTCAGCAGGAGGCAAATTCTCATTCTATAAACTGTTGCCTGTTCATTCATGCATTTGTGTCAAGTTAACTAATTTGTTCACAAACAAAAACAGAAATTGCTGGAAGGGCTCAGCAGGTCTGGCAGCATCTGTGGAGAGAAATCAGAGTTAACGTTTCGGGTTGAGTGACCCTTCCTCAGAACTGATGGTTTCTAGGTGAATGAGAGATAAAGGTGTAGAGCTGGATGAACACAGCAGGCCGAGCAGCATCAGAGGA